TCTATCTCCTGTGCGCATGCTAATTATCCTGCCCCGTCCACACCTCATGTTATTTCCGCCTTTAACGTGCTGGTTATATTACGTCATGCATCCTCATCAGGTTAGCTCATTTCGCCACGCTTGTCGCGATTACTTGCAAACGTCCGCTCGCGAGTAAAGTGACCAAGAAAGAGGGTACGGTAAAATGACACTCTGTAGCCACATACATGATCCTTATATAAGCTGACAATTTTCGGAGCTAGGAGACACGACTCGCGTGTCGATACAATGTGACCCGACACATGGCCCACTAAAATCAAATGTGAACGCCTGTATGACCAGTGCTACGCCATTGCACGTAACTTTCGCGCAATGGGGACTTTAGATATAACCACAGTGAAAGTTGTATCTCTCTAATTTCGTGCCAGAACAACGTTTGTATGCCAGCGCCACTTAAGAAATTTTCGGTAATTTCGTTTGTACGCTGGCTCTGTAAAAGTGCCCGAAACTTATCCAGTGTCCAGCTGCAGCTCGAACTTGGCGAACTTGGCTGCGTGGCAACTATAGGTCATATAGCCCCGTTTTTCTGAGAAATATTTACGTAGGCCCTATAGCAGAAGCCTTCGAAATCAGTGTCTCCCGGTGAAATAATAATAATAGCTCCACGGATGATGGGTGGCCATACCACGACATGATTATGACCCAAGCAGTGGGGTAGGTCCCCAGAAATTCCCATCACCTGTTGTTTTGTAGTGTGTACTAACATCTCCCAGTTAAGCGGCCCCTCCAACTTTTCGCTTCTATCGAAATGCGACCGCCGCGGTTGCGATCGAACCAGCGACCTTCGAGTAAGCAGAGAGAGAGAGAGAGAGAGAGAGAGAATTTATTAGAAGGCAGAGAGGTCGGCCTGAGCTAGTTCGCTCTAGCCTGCTACTCTACACAGGGGGTAAGGGAAAGGGGAAGGAAAGAGGGATGAAGGGTGATGATGGGGCCAAGAAGTGGTGCGTATGTACAGTAGCCACTTAGCATAGTACCCTACAGCCTAGTTTCTAGTCCAGTGCTTTTGATAATGTCTAAAACAGCCTTTGTAGCAGTTTTTGACACTGTTTGGTCGTTCATTGCTGACAATATGTGGCTTTCACTTAATGGTGTTCGTCCGATGCTTGCCAACGTTGCAGTTGGCAAGCATCGTTGGCATTTTTCTTTGCGCCACGTATAATGCACAGTCACAAAATATGTGAGCTATTGTTTCGCGCACTTGGCAGCGTTCACCATTCGGGCTGTCTGCACGGCCTTTTTCCCGAAGCCACTGTACCACTAAGGCGGACCTCACGGCAAGGTGGCCCGAGAACTTGAAGTCGAATCTTTTTTTTTTATTTTTAGCGTTTGCAAACTTACAAAACGTCTTCCCGCTGCAAGTGCTTTACTTCAGTACCACAGATCGATAATGCATACTGACGCAGGTAATGCACGCTATAATTACCTACAAACGGATTAACTTTTGCGAAGCAAGCAATGAACGCATAACATTCGAAGCGACGGCTTTTGTAATTCTTATAGCCGTGGACTTACAATTGCATGCATGAATCTAGTCATTGCGGTCGCAAGGGGTAACATCCTTCGAAGATATTAACATGCCGACATCGTCAGGCTCTGTCGAAACCTGAAACACGAGTTACCTACGGATCAATCTTGCAAACAGGGACTTAAAAACCGGAACTCAAGTTATTTACGCAAGCTGGTCGCTTAAAGAAGATTGTGAAATTTAAAATATACGATTACGGCGCACCGACAACTATCGTTCGTGGCTATATAATAACGCCTCCGGAAATGTTTTATTCTTTTTTTCCTCGTGTTCAGTGCGTCGTGAAGTCACCTATTCTATGTTAGAGTGTTGCATATATCCGCGCACGTCACTCGCGTAAGGACAGCTCCGTCATTTCCCAACGTCAGTTGCAGCATGCTAATTTTGGAACGTTTGACCCCCGCCGTTCCGTATGGCTGGCGCTTGCGCCAAAAGAGGCGAACATATTATTCATGATTAAGCGATAATAACTAGGGGGCAGACAAGTACTGCAACTGCGAAGACCGGAGACAAGAAAGGTTCAACGGCCAACCAAAGTCAAAGACCTTTAACACAATGCGACTATTACCATAGCACAATCAAAGCCGCTTAACCACCTCGCATAGATCATTTCCGGTTGCTTCAGATGAAGGATAATCTTTCTTCGCGCATATTTGGAGCCAGTATGCAATCGCGGAGTTATGTCGGCCTGAAAAAAGAACAGAAAGAAAGCGCTAAAAGCGAGAAATTTAATTTACAACAGCATACCCGGTTGAAGTTCGATAAGTCTGCAGCGTGCTGCAACGTAACCGCAGAGCGCCCGACCTCATGAGAAGAAGACGGCGCTTGGCAGTGACGTGTGAAGCCGCGGCTCGTGTTCCGTGCTCCCTTAATACTACATCGAATGAGAAGATGAAGAAGAAGATGAATATCGACGACAAGTCGCCTCAGGTGAATGCGCGAAGGACAATGCGAGGCTTTCAAACACCACGTTCTCGGGGGAAAAAAAATTAAGAAATTCGGCAGATCCCCCGTACCTTGGGAATCGACGGTATGCAAAGCATGCAGAGGGAAAGTGACCGTGTTGTAATTTTTTCACTGAGCGGCACGTCGTCAAAGGACGCTAAATATATGTACAAATGTTGCACGCACAGACAGAAGCGTTGCAGATGTTTATATAACCAGTTCTTTGCACTTGCGCAACTATGCCAATAGGGACTTTATTTTAAGCAACACCACAAGCGATACGCCAATATGAAGCGCTGGTGCTCGCTAGGATGGTAGCCCTGGACACTGACAGATAAATCAACTTCAGCGCATGACATATGACCACAATTGACGTTAACTCATCGTGACGGCTGTATTATTAAGTGCATATCTAATGTTTATAAAATTGGATACCCAGCACTGTAAGCACAATTGATGTTTCACCAATGAGGATTAAAAAAATTTTAGCCCTTACTGCGTCTCACAAATATTAGTATCTATTTGAAAAGTAGCTTGGAGACCTGGCGCGGCTCTGTGGTAAAACGATTGATTGCCACGCAGAATTGTTAGGTTAGATTCCTGCTGGTACACCTACATTTATTATTTGCATTATGGCGGGCCAACGCTGCCGATGTCAGGTTTTACTTAATGCTCACGCGTTACAATTATCCATGTGTGTTCTCGTCGTTCCTGCGTAGATGTTAAGTGTTAATCACCTGTGGCACATACCAGCCCGCAAATATGTGCCACTGTCTGGCGGGAAGTGCTTAACGTATGCGACAGGATTGTGACATTATTCATGTCGTGACCAGCGTGTCGTATTCGTTAAACTATCTTACCCTCACATACTAATTTTGGTTAACACCAAGTTAAGGGGGTGATCACGAGAGCACCCAGACCTAAGTGGCTAGATAGATAGATAGATAGATAGATAGATAGCTAGATAGATAGATAGATAGATAGATATATAGATAGACAGATAGATAGACAGATAGATAGATAGATGATAGATAGATAGATAGATAGATAGATAGATAGATAGATAGATAGATAGATAGATAGATAGATAGATAGATAGATAGATAGACAGATAGATAGATAGATAGACAGACAGACAGACAGACAGACAGACAGACAGACAGACAGATAGATAGATAGATAGATAGATAGATAGATAGATAGATAGATAGATAGATAGATAGATAGATAGATAGATAGATAGATAGATAGATAGATAGATAGATAGATAGATAGATAGATAGATAGATAGATAGATAGATAGACGTCCAAAGTACTTGCAGTGCGCAATGAAATGCTTCGCAATTGAAAAAAAGTAAAAGACCTCGCGGAGCCGAGCCTTTCTGCGTCTATAGAAAACGCGAGCATAGCTGAATGCGCGTACAGAGTATGCAAATAAGTGGCACAGCGTATTATTGACGCACGCCGCCGCAGAAACGCCTCCCTCGACGCCACGAAGTCGCTGCAAGGCGCCCGAATGTCGCCCTGGCTGCCATCGCACCGCTTCTGCTACCAGCTTTAATAAACGTCAGCTGCTGCCGGTCTGCATATGGCACGAACGTGGCATGCCCACGCACGGCGAAAGTTGCACATTTTGAAAGTTGCCAAATTTGAAAATCATTACTCGTGGTGCTCCGAATGAGCTCTGGAAATTTTGTGTTTTTTTTTTTGTCCGAGGCAATCGGTATCGAGAAAACAATCAGGACATTCAGCAAGTTTCCCTAATATATGTGTATTTATATTTCCAGTTATACGGGCTTGAGTTAGTTCATGCAAACTTGCTATTTCAAGGAAGCGCACAAGTAAATCATTAAGTATCAATCAATAACCCAACTGAACGGTATACATATCATATATAATGAACATATCACACACCCATACGTAATGTCAGTTTCGTATATCGGAGAGAATGCAAAAGAACGACAACAACCGCAGTCCAGGTCTTCATGAAAACGGATCACCGAATGATGATGACACTTCGAATTCGAACATGTTCTGATTCATTTTAGGGGCTCACAAAATAAAAGGGAGTTTTCGAATAGCGTACCTCTACCACTGCGCACGCGTCATAACGCGAACCACCATTGGCGTTTGCGGTCCACCCGCAACAAATTTGAAATAGCGTGTGGCCTGCAAGGTCCGCAAAGCCCCTTTGCGGTGAGCGAGCGTGTAAGCGTGCTTTACCGTTAGCGCAGCCAAACGCTATTCGAAAACTCATATGGTGCCCATGCTCAAACGCTACGCCCGCAACGTCCATTACCATTGCGGTACGCTTTTCGAAAACTCCCTAAAGTGTCTATGAAAAAGTGTTCATGCCACAGGTTTTCCCATTTTCATTCAAGGGACAAAGAAAGTCAAACCCAAGAGGTGTCCCCACTGTTTCGCAAGTTCTCGCTTCATTGAAATAGTATGAAAGTGAGAACAACAAACAAGACGTGTGTCTTCGACTCACCTGTACTCCGACAACGTCCTGTCGGAGAGTCCCGCTTCGACTGCCTCACTGCGTGTCCGGGAAGAAGACACGAGCGAAGAAAAGGAGAAAAAGAACACAAAAAACAACGTCAACGCCTCGCTTGGACGGCCACATATCAACACGCACACACAAGAAAGGCACACTAATGGCGCCCGCAATATTGTTGGCAATACATTTAGGAAAAGATCCCTCACGAAGAGTTCGCGCTAAGGAACCAGCGTCAGAGAACTGCATGCGCCAGCACTTTCCGGAAAGACCCTTGCCGACCGTTTTATTTGGGAACAAACATAGCTGCTCCGCTACGGAGGAGAGTGCCGTAGGAGCGGATACATTCCATTCAATACGGTGACCTTCGAGATCACAGGATGCATCTCGCACTAAAGCGCCTTTATCTAATCGGGCACACCATGCAGTAAAACTGCAAAACAGAAAACAGCTGTTGCGCGATGTAAAATGTATACCGAGCAAACAATGCTGTATGTGCTGTAAGCATCCAAAGCTACACATACAAATACGACAAACACAATTGCAGTTCTGGCTCACATTGTCGTGCATTGTTCAGGAGAAGCGCTCTGCATATGAACATCACGAACGCTACGCTCTCTCTTCGCAAAATTGCATGCGTCTCATTTCAAAAAGATACACGCAATGGCAGGCCTATAGAAGATACTTCAGAATGTCGCTGCATTCATTTTACACCTCTCTCTCTACAGTGTTAGAATGTACTGCCACTGAGACGTTGGTACTGTGCCGTCTCATTTTAGGCAATACACGCACGCACGCAAGCCCACATGCACGCTCACACAAACACACAAACACACAAACACACACACGTACGCACACACGCACTCACGCAAACGTACGCACAATGTATTGCTAGGTATACCAAGAATTAACTGCGGTAGCAATGCGCTACGCTACTGTACACAAAAGAAGATTCGTATTCTTATCGGCAGAACATGCTGTAATTCCCGTTCACCGATGAAGGTGACAATAGCACTGCTCAATGGCTCGAAGACTACATACTTCCACCGGAGGCTATAGACGAATAGTGATGTTGCGACTGTGAGGAGTCGGGCTGTGTGAATAGCATGCGTGATACTTCTTTCCCTTTTCCCCCCTTTGAAGATCGCTCATCCTATTCGCTACGGTAGAATAGCATACGAGTTTACTAGAGTGGGTAATGTACGTGCCTTTCCTGCGTTTCCTGTTCTCTTCAAGCTAACTAGATTCATTACACCAAGATTCCTTTCCATCGTTCTCACAGCTTTAGTGTACGGTTTCAGCGTCAGGCCCACAATTAAGAAAGCAATGCGTACGGGGCCAGATCACGCTATTGCATCCTGCTCTCGAAGACGAAGTGGGTGGTCCGTAAGCACTCTGCGGCCGGAGTAGAACTGCAGCTGGACCGTCCGGTCACGGAGACTTACGCAATGCCGACAACACCATGCGTAGTAGAATATGCCAGAGGTCAGTTTGACAGTGATAGGCGTCGAAGGTTATTTCGTTCACTTTTCGTCTCGTGTGTTGCAGCGACGATAAGTCGTGCAAAAGGACACTTTCGTGTTTCCTGATCGGAGATTAACCTCGTTGTCTGGTCCCACGGCTAGCCCCTCTGCTACGCCAACTAATCCGCGTAATGAGTCTGAGCTCGCTAATAACGCTGTTCATCAGATTCGAATACAGTTACGTTGCTCCAATCACGCGCTCCTATGCCTTAATGCTCAAAACGAGCAAACAAGCAGCCAGCGAAAAATGCAAAGCGGCCATCAACTCTTTTTCGCAAGCAGTTACAACCTTCATTATCATTTCCACGTGCTTCCTTATCCAATTAAATTCTCTTGAGGGCGGCAAAAGGGCACATCCCCATCCCTTCATTTTTTCCCAAATCACGCTTTTCTCCCCTCACCTGCATTCGAAAGTTCCTGGCATAACGATAAAGCAATAACGACGCACGCGCGGAGGGAGGCAAACAAAAGCTTCGTTTCGCAACAGTATCAGCAACAGCGTTTAGTGCGGGAACCTTATCCGATCCACTCGAATGCCTCAGCCCGGAGTGCGGTACTCGAATTCCTTGCATTGCAAACAAGCGAGGCAGCCAACGAGAAAGCCCGGCAGCGCAACAAGCTTATACAACGACAACAAAAATGTGAAAGGGGAACATCTTTCCACTCGAGCAAGCAGAAACCCGGTGTATAGTGGATATTGGTCTCTAGCGCTGAAATGAAGAAAAGAGAGCCTAGAGAGGTTTGAGAAAGCTGAGTGAATAAACGAGGCAGAGAAGGCGCACGGTGAGGGATAAAAGAAACGGAGAGAGAGAGCGAGAGAGAGAGAGCAAAAAGAGGAGGAGGACGTGATACCCGGAGGCAGCACTTCTCGACGTTGCCCAGAAAGTGCCCCCACCCCCTTTCCACCTCTCCCCCACTGTGTCCTGCTTTCCTTGTATAAGAAAACCGCATAGCTTTAGCATTTTGTGAGTATGTGGCTTCGATTAAACCATCCAGATCACATGGGTTGTGAAATCTCGATTGCGAAGACGACGGTAGCAAGGGTGAAGCGGTGGCTGTTTCTTGAATGGACGCTGGAAACATTTGTAAGAACACACACACACCTTTAACGATAAAACACTGAAAATCAAATCTCTAGTTCGTACGAGTTTCGAGAGGCATCCTATTTGAAATCTATCTATCTATCTATCTATCTATCTATCTATCTATCTATCTATCTATCTATCTATCTATCTATCTATCTATCTATCTATCTATCTATCTATCTATCTATCTATCTATCTATCTATCTATCTATCTATCTATCTATCTATCTATCTATCTATCTATCTATCTATCTATCTATCTATCTATCTATCTATCTATCTATCTATCTATCTATCTATCTATCTATCTATCTATCTATCTATCTATCTATCTATCTATCTATCTATCTATCTATCTATCTGATGTCGAGTACTGTAACTCACTGAAGATATTCACTACCACTAAACCTGCATACTCTGTAAGGACGCAGCTCACTCGCTTATCTTCTCCAACGCCCGTTCTTACGTGGGTGGCGCTGCTAAGCAACACTTGACTCCTGGCGGATGATCCATGCAACACAACTTCGTAATTTCTCAAGCGCATTCCGTTGCCCAACTGGAAGGCGGGATACGAGACGAGGCGGAAGTCTGCGAAACCAGAAGAAATGCGGTAATGCGATGAAGGGAGTGGACTGAGATGATGACCGAGCAAAAAAAAAAAAAAGCAGAACGACAACGGGAAATGATGAAACTTAGAGGAAGCCGGGCGGACGGTGCTTTGCATCCGGCGCCCGTGGTTGCGGCAGCTGCGCCGCCATTAACACCGCAGGGGCATATGCGCCGAGGCGCGCGAGACGAGAAACTCAATTTCCGGTCCCGGAAGGAAGGAACCTTTGGCGGGGGCCCTTTGACACAGAGTGAAAGCGCCAGGGCTACGCCTCCGAATCGTAATGAAAGGCGAGTGCCCGTGCACTTTGCGCGGCGCAGGTGGGAAGCGCTGTATACGAGTGTTTGGCATCACTGTGGCATGCTGTTGCGCGTCTACTGGGCGGCCATGAAGGTTTATGGCTACAATGACAGCCGATGATGAGTGATACTGCACTCCACGAACTATTTACCACCCTTCGAAAGGCGGGCACCAATGGCCGGCCGGTGCGAGACGCACGTCATCGCTTCATTTTTGGTTTTCCATTAAATGCGAAGCCTGTTCTTTTTCGGTATTCTTTGCAACATTCGCCTCGGTGGAACAGTATTACGTTGCTAGGCTACTGACACAAAGGTCGCGGATTCGATCCCAGCCGCTCCGGTCACTTTTCAACGGTGGAGAAACGCCAGAGGCCCGTAAGTGCACGCTACATCACACCGGTTTGTTGAAATTAGCGGATCCCCACACTATACAGCGTCCCTCATAAACATGAGTGGCCCTGGGGCGTAAAACTGCAGATATTATATTTATTTATTTCGATGTTGACCATAGAGTTACATTCAGTAATTATTAACACGGAAGTGTTCTATGCCGGGGTTCACCACGGCTCCGCTGGAGTATGTCCACCACGGATATGACATTGTGAAATATACATTAATAGATTCCAAAAAAAAAAAGAACGAAAAGGAAAAGTTCCGCAGCGGGGCGTCGAACCAGCAACCTCACGCTTTCCGGCGCACGACGCTAACCACTACGCCACAGGGCATAAAAAAAGGGACTATTGAAGAGAGGCCCGCACAATGCAAACTGCAGAGCGAAAGGCGTGGCGGAAGTCACGTGCTTTTGCATGGACAATTGGGGGACTTGGAGGGCACGCTGGCGACTCGAGATCGTGTCGTCTGCATCATCACTCGTACGATCGCGTTGTTCACGCAGACTGGACTTCTAAATGTGCATTTTTATGCAGCTGTTGCACTTCAAAGATGATGTCATGTGTCGGAAGCCTACAGTGAGAGTTTGTCTTTACGGTTGCGAGTTTATTTTATATTGCTTGAGGTCGAAAGCAGTCGTTTTCAAAGCTCATTACCACTTCTTCCAAAATTATTCGCGCAGCAGCTTCGATATTCTTCTTCGGCACGGTGCTTGCGTGCCTCAGTGAAGGAAGCCTATGATTATAGGACGAGAACGGCAGCGTCTGCGGCTCTTAATGCGAGAGGCGCCGGTGGGCCATTCTCGTGTACGTCTGGCACAGCTATCGGAAAGAAGTACGCGGCCCACTATTCTCACCGGAGCTTACCGAGCCAATAATTAGATGTGTCCGACATAGAAGATAACTTATTGCTTGAATTATCGCTTCCTGTTAACGTTTTGTACACTGTAACCTCATCTTTGGCCAAGTTTTTTTTTTTTTTTTTCAATTTGGTCGCAGTCGGTCGCACGCTGCTGCGAACGATATTCGTGCGCTCGTATCGTGACACACATGGCAAAGAATGATTTGGAGGTACTTCATCTGTCTAAATGGCAAAACAAAATAAATAACATTTCACAGTTACATTATGTTCTTTGCCC